GGACATCAAGTAAGAATGGAACATAGAACTAATGAGGCAAAATATAGTGCAATTATTTTTAACAAAGCTAAGAAAGAATCACCGGATGGTTATTTTTTAAAAAATCCACTCATAATATTTGTCTTCCACAATTTTACCAACTAAATTCAGATAGTGATTAATACTATAAGGGAACTCTGGTGGCATAGTAGGTAAGGCATTTGGCTGCTAACCAGAAGGCTGGCAATTCAAACCTACCAGATGCTCCATGGGAGGAAGATAAGGCAATCTACTTCCTTAAAGAAATCTTGGAAATCCAATGCGAGTTGCTATGAGTCAGAACTGACTCAACAGCATGCACTTGGTTTTGGTTTGGTTACTATAAAGAGCCTTGGTGGTGCAGAGATTGAGTATTCAGATGCTACCTATAAGGTCAGTGGTTTGAACCCACTAGCCACTCCATAGGGGAAAGATGTGGGAGTCTGTAAAGGTTTATAGCCTTGGAAATCTATGGAACTGTTCTTGCCTGTCATATAGGTTAGCTATGAATTGGAATCTAACTTGACAGCAATGGTTTTGGGTTTTTGTGGTTACTATTGTTGCTTCAACAGGCATCCTGAGACTATTTTTCCTGAGTAATCAAAAGGTCTTCTATGCGCAACACAAATTGTGATCTATACTTTGGAAATGCACATCTAGCCTTTCAATGTTATTAAGAGTTCCAAATGGTAAACTATCACAAGGGTTCAAGACACTAGATTTCAATTACTATAGTTCACTAAGGACACTCACTTTGGAGTTAGGCCAGAGTAGTTAAAATCCTACTTTTACTACTTACTCATTATTTGACTTCCCCAAAACCACCTCACCTCTCCAAGCCTCTATTACTTCATCTATAAATCGAGGATAAAAATCCTGTCTACCTCAAAGAGGAGTAAAAGCACAAGTCTCCCATGATGAGATGTTGTAATTATAAAAATAACTTAGCTAAATATATAAATGATGTACTGCTAGCCAGTCAAAAATCTGCCAAATGAACACATAAATGTATGAACAAATGGAAAGCAGGATGCATAAGGTCTCTTGATAGTTTACGTTTTCCGTGTCTTCTCCCTCTTGTGAAAACATCTAGTAAACAGAGGCTATCTGGTGCTTAAAGTACACAAAGCTATGCCTTACCTTCAGAGAAAGAAAACATATTACTTATAATTGTAGTTATAGTCCCTCCTCCAGATTAAAATAACAACCAGTGCCAATAAACAAAGTTTTCAGGACTCATTCTTCAAGGAGAATGTTGTTGTTATGTGCTGTTAAGTCGGACCTGGCTCATAGCGACCCCTCCTTGGGTTTCCGAGGCAGTATATTATGGAAATAGATTGCCCCATCTTTCTTCTGAGGGGTGGCTGGTGATTTTGAACCGCCAGTCTTCTGGTTAGCAGTCAAGTGCATTAGGCACTACGCTACCAGAGCTCCCCAAGGAGAATATATAACATTTTTAAATAAAGACATTTCTCTTCTCAAACTGTTTTCTAAAAACTATAATCATTTTACCTGAAAGTCTTAGTACTCATCTTTCAAATCACCAATTCCCAAACTATGAGTATGAAGACTCTCTTAAACTTCAAAACAAAATTGGAATCTACATAATAGCTGCACTTTCAGTAACTACTGATTAAGAAAATGAAAAAAGGCTACTAAAAATTCAGGAGAAGTTTAAAAATAATGCTTTTCAAGTAATAATAGCTATACACATTTGAAAAAGAGAGGTATATAGTATGTATTCAGGACCAGTAAAACTCCAGCAATACTATGATTCCCCAGGTCTGAGACATAAAGTTTGGGAATACCTTTTTTTTTAGATTCTATTAGGTGGCACAATGGCTAATGCATTCAGCTGCTAACCATAAAAGGTCAGCAGTTTGAACCCACCAGCCACTCCATGGGACACTCTGCTTCCATAAATATTTATAGCTTTAGAAACCCTATGGGGCAGTTCTACCCTGTTCTGTAGGGTTGCTATAAGCTGGAATACACTTGGTGGCAATGAGTTTAATTTATATATATATATATATATATATATATACACACACACACACACACATACATATATATGGTATATATATATAGGTGCTACCTGCCTCAGGTAAACAAAAAAAATTGTTGAAATGTTACTATTTTCTCACAAGGAAAAATTTCTCCTTAGCTTCAATACAACTTAGATGTGATTTAATGTAAGTCATATTAGCCAATAATGCAATATGTAATAATTTGTAATATACGCTAAAATGTTTTGAAATATTCAAAGGACTATGGTAAAATATGCCATTATAACAGGATATAATACACTAACCCAACTAGGGTAAGAAAATGCTATAAATCTCACTCTTCAGGACCCAGACTTCTGAAAAGCTCCAAAATTGAAAGGAGGTTTGAAAAAAAAAAAATAAAAGTGGTTCTTGGACAATAAGGAGGCTTAGAAACCTAACAACATGCAAAAACAGGCAAATGAGGCATAAGTGAGCTTTAGGCCTAATTTTAGGTGACTATTCATCTGTTTTGGGAGCTCTGGTAGCACAGTGCCTAAGGCACTTGACTGCTAACCAGAAGGCTGGTGGTTTAAACCCACTAGCCACTCCTCGGAAGGAAGGTTGGGTAATCTACTTCCATAGTGATACTGCCTGGGAAACCCAAGGAGGGGTCGCTATGAGTTGGGTCCGAGTCGACAGCACATAACAACAACAACATTCATTTGTTTTAGAAATAGAGCTTTCTGATTGGGTGGTTACCTTATTTTTCCTGAAGGAAAGCTATTAGAAGACAATGAGACAAGAGAGACAAGAAAAAAGCTGAAAGAATATATGGAATCAGTAGTAACAGCACAGTCTGTTGTAACAGACTGTGGAAAAATGACTTGGTAATAAAGGATACACATTAATTAAATTTACTTGAACTTACTCTAAACATCAGACCCAGCACTGCAGTAGAGGAGGTCAAAGCACCATATGCATCATATCATAGTAAAAACAGGGCTCTATTATTGTATTGTAGCACAAAGCTACTAAAGCCCACCACAATGCATACAAATGACATCTTTGGATGGCATTGTTGACATGCATGAAGGCATACCACCATTACATCCATACCAACCACACTGCAGCTACACTCACACTAATACCTACAACATATTGCAATAAAAGGCAGGTGTATATTCTAAAGAAGGAGCTCTGGAAGCATAGTACCTAAGACACTGGACTGCTAACCAGAAGGCTGGCAGTTCAAACCCACCAGCCACTCTGCTAAAGGAAGACTAAGCAATCCATTTCTGTAAAGATTTACTGCCTTGGAACCCAAAGGGGATCACTATGAGTCGGAATCAACTCAACGGCAGTAAGTTTGGTCTGTTTTGGTTTATATTCTAAAGACAAAAAAGAGTAATGATTTTCTCAAATCAAGAAAGAACCAAGTTCAGAACACTTGGCCATGATAAATAATTTAAAAATCAGAGTATAAATAAATAATATAGATAAGAAATATTATCTAAGAAAGCAGGGAAATAAGGCATATTTTAGAATGATTGTCAGAAAAAGGTAACATTTAAGTTGGTCTCTTAAAGTTTTAACCATAAAATTTATCTATTCAAGTTAGATCATTTTGAACATTGCAAGTAATTAGGATTTTGGTATTTTATGATTTTCTAAGAGTGTAATAGATTTTTGCTAACTAATCTACCATAGTTTTCATCGTGAATCACATCAACCCTCTACAAAATGATGGCCACAGTTAAATAATCTCTGACTGTAAAACTGTGAAGCAAAGATAGGATTATGGTCTCCTGAACATATATTATCATGAAAGTAATTTAATACAAATTTGTTATGCTTATGATTAATTAAGGAGCTCTGGTGGCACAATGCCTAAGGCATTTGACTGCTAAAGAAGTTGGTGGTTCAAACCTATCAGCTACTCCATGGAAGGAAGATGGAACAATCTACTTCTATAAATACTCACAGCCTTGGAAACCCAGTGGGTGTTGCTATGAGTTGGAATCGACTCAAAGGCAGAGGGTTTGGTTTTGGTTTTCGGATTAGTGGGTAAGGCATTTGGCTGCTAACCACAGGTCAATGGTTCAAACCCACTAGCTGCTCACTGGGAGGAAGATGAGGCAATCTACTTCCGTAAAGATTTATGGCCTTGGAAATCCAATGGGGGTTGCTATGAGTCAGAATAGTCTCAAAGGCAGTGGGTTTTGGTTTTATGATTAATAAATAAATTGTGACACAGAATTGGTCCTGTTTTTCTAGGGTCAAAGAACACAGATCAATATTATACATTTAAAATCTTAATCCTTGCACAATATTTGCAAATATTAGGATATAATGAATCTAGGAATGTTTGATATTACATAAAATTATATAAAATCTATCTAGCCCAAGAGAATCACTTTATTAAGAAAGGTTCCTCAGTATCTGTGACTTCAAATTTCACTCATGCATCATTTCATTATTGGTAAACTCATTCAATTACTACTAATAATTTAGAAATAGGTTTTAAAATGTATTTAAATCCAGCATTTTGATTTTATGCTTCAGTAAGTTCTAAGATAATGATACTGATCTCCTTGTACCAATATCTTAAAATTACAACAGTATAACTAACTAATGGAAAAATTATAAGCAATTACAGCACTCATTTAATCTGTTTATTTTTATAGTTTCTGTAATTTTATGAATAGGACCAGAACATGTTAAACACAAAATTTCAAATAAATTAAGAATCCTGATTACTCATTTAATTAAGATGCATCTCTATGAGCAAGAAAGGAATAATGAGATAAACTTTTTTGTTCCTTAGTTCTAAGAGAACCTTAATATATAATATTAACATAATATTATAATATATCTGTCATCACTGAGATAGGATAAAATTTCAATAACCTTTAGAATACAAGTGTGTTTTCCTCCTCCTAGACTTTGATATTGGGCCTAAAGTTCTTTTCAAAAAGAGTGAGGAGCACTACTCACATCTGATGAAGAACCTGTGCCATGGCAACTCCATTAGTCAGCTGTTTGACATCTTGACAAGGTGCAGTGGTATTGAATGACTGCAGCTGAAATTACATAAAGCAAATAAATTTACTGCTACTTTATAACTAAAGGGTACTATTAGGTGCTGTCGAGTCCATTCTGACTTACAACGACCCTATGTACACAGAACTACATGGTCCTGCACCATGTTCACATTTGTTGCTATGTTTGACCTACTGTAGCAGCCAGTGTGTCAATTCATCTAATTGAGGGTATCCCTCTTTTTTGCTAATGCTCTATTTTACCAAGCATGATGTCCTTCTTCAGGCACTGGTTCCTCAGATAACACGTCCAAAGAACATGAGACAAAGTCTTGCCTTCTAAGGAGCATTCTGGCTTCACTTTATCTAAGACTGACTTGTTTGTTTTTCTGACAGTCCATAAGATACTCAATATTCTTCGCAAATACCATGATTCACTTCCATAGTGCTATCACCTCGGAAACCCAAGGAGGGGTCGTTATGAGTCAGGTCCAACTTGACAGCACATAACAACAACAACA